AAGAACTCCACAGATGCTGGCGCTATCAGCTCCTGCAGCGTCCATCCGCGAGTGAACCATTTGCTTCGCCGAAGAGATACATTCCAGTCCCTGCATAAGATAAATCCTGTCGAGGTCGAGGTCGATGCTGACACATCTGACAAGAAAACATAGCATCGTACCGCCTTCTTGTACCACTGGAACATTGAGTTAATCGCCTTCGACCGCTCATTATTGTTCCATCTATCGATGCAGCATGTATCGATCCAGAAGTACTGCAGTCCGTCCTGAGCTGCTTGTTCGGCACAGAACCGTAACTTCTGGTAGCCTTCTTCTTTCTCTTTATAGCTTCCATTTGATATGTCTTCAATGAGGATCTCGGAGCTGCCCCATCGGTGCGATAGGATGGCGTAGGGTGGGGTCGGCTTGCCGCGAAAGTCTGTCAAGATCAGTTTGCCTAGTGCGTTGAAATGGAGAAGCCGCATAGCACTGATAGTTCAGATTGCGGCCGAAGGAAGTATAGGGGTGAACGGTTTTTGTAACAAATTATTGATAACGTAGTAAGAGTAGAATGTTAACTGGCAAGAGTAAATGATGCGTTTGCGACGATGCAGAGGAGGCAGCATAGCAAGGCAGTGCGTGCAACTAGGCTGAAGGAGCCGCAGCTCTCAGCCACAGCGCGCAACCTCCCGCAGATATCTCACCACATGCGCACCCCCTGCCTTTAGCTTTTAAGGCTATAGTCTTAAATGCTGCTATCTTGATTTCTCCGTTGACCCACCGAGCTCTCTATAAATATTGGTGGTCGCGAACAAACAGGGGGGTATTAGAGGACAGTTGATAGACGTTACTCTATCCAGATATGGTTTGAAGTGTTTTTTTGTGCAACGTGGGCTGCGTGGATGAAAGGAGGGGAAAAGCTTTGATTTGTGATGTGAAACACTGGAGATGAAGTTTCGACGCACAATCGTCCAGGCTAGACGGATACCGATACACACAGACAACCATGCAGCATTCGTCTTTTATATTGTTACACATTGCGGCTCATTGTAATGTCCTCATGATGTCACATATGATACATGGGCGCTGCTATTCAGCGCAGCCGTCTGTCCCCGTAGCGACATATCGTGGGCCAGGTCATCCTCAAACTTGTTACAGCAGAGTTATCTCTGGATAATTTTCCCCCGCACCTTCCTACTCCACCACCCCACCCCTAACTGACCAAAATTCGTGAAAAGCGAGGAGTATACCCGTCCAGCGATGCAATGCATGTCCAAAGAAAAAATATTTCCCTTCAACTCCCAAGAGCGTAGACCGTGGCCTGAAATCTTACACAATAACCTCACCGCAGTCGACGTAGTTTGGTCGCCATTTGCTCGTGTCCAGCTCGCCCTCTGTGCTGCTCGGTACTGTCACCTCGACAGGCTTGTACAGATACCACGCCTTCAATGCTGCTGCCGCTGCTCTTGTCCTTGCCTCGTTCAATGAGCTGCCTGCTCCCTCACCCAGCTTGTCTTTGCCACTGTATACACCTACAACAAACACCGGGTGCCTACTTAGACGACCAGTCTCGGAAATAAGTCGGGCAACTGGTGGCTCAAAGCCCTCTCGTGCGCACAACGTTGAGAGATCTCGGGTGGGTGTACGGAAATCGAATAGTGTGCTAATATCAAGATGCCTGCTAAGGAAATGGTCGCGGAAAAAGCGCTTAACAAGAGGTGTGCCGAGGTGTTGGTGTAATGCACCGAAGAGGGCTCGGACAAATGACTGTGCTGCGTCTTCCATGGGCACTCCTGTATTCTGCAGGGAATGTGGGCTGGGTGCAGCATTATCCGAGCCAAATTCATCCGTCTTCATAATTTTGTGTGTTGTGGTGACGTTCCAGCTCCAAGGTGCTTGCCGCCTCAGAGCAGCTGGGATGTCGTCGCCTGATCGTATCCGCTTGAACTGTAGCAAACCAGGGTCTACCTCACCACCGGGCTCGGCTGCGGCTTCAATACCCCATTCACGTGCAACGGTCGCTAGTGCCTTGGGACCAATGTATGCTTCTACTGCAGCGAAAACAACAGCCATTGGAAGCCGTGGGTAGTTGCATAGAATCCACTCGGAAGTGTAGTAACCAAGCAAGTGGCGTCCAAGTATCGACAGTGAGGCATTGTTGAAGGCAGGATTAGGATCTGCCGAAGGATGTACAAGAGTTCGTGCGAGAGCCTGGAGGGGAAAGCGGGGGGGTAATGATAGTCGACTTCGGAGGGCGTGGAGTTTTATCGAATGCTCGGCGGCATGTGGGTGTGGGGAGGGAAGGCTCTCAAGTGGGAGAGGTTGTGAGCCTGCGGGCCGCGACTTTGATGCTGAAGAAGCAGGGGAATTTGCTGCTATTTCGATTTCCAGGTCGCCGTCGTGCGGTATGGCAACGGTGGTTTGGAAGCGGGCGTGTGTGCGGTGGCTATGTGGTGCAATGCCTCTTTGAGCATTCTTCGCCGCGGCGTATGGGCACGAGGGCCGGCGGGGGATTGGTTGGGCCAGCAATTGCGAGGCACATCTTGATATCGGTATGCGCTTCATGGGGGCACGACGCAGAATCAGCGGACAGAAGGTGGGAGCAAGGCGGAGTCGGCGGCAGCAGCAATTGGTCGCTCGTGTCGTCTTCTTGTCGGACGATGATGGCGATGCCAAAGAATTTCCGCCAAGCCCGCGTACACGAGGCCCGTGCTAGCCCTACGCATGCGACAGCGACCTCATGCCAGCTCCGACTCCAGCAACCCCACGAAGTTCTGCACATCCACAACCACAATGGGCGGCGGAGGAAAGATCCCGTACGATATTAGACGACGCCATTGATTGCTGTCTCGAAGCTAAGCATTGAGCAGATACCCCAAGCACGTCTGGTCGCCAGCCGGTGGCTGGTACGCCCAACCCGCAAACTGGAAAGCCAACACGGCCGTTGTAGGCCTCGCCCTCGGCAGCATTGTCGGCATGGCCTGGATGCTCAGCGCAAACCGTGAATACCGCGACAAGATGCCCGAACGCCACAGGTTCTTCCCCAGCCGATAGTACGCCTCGCATCTTCCACCCCGCGCAACACGCCCACCGCTAACCATTGCACAGCTGGAGCAAGCAGATCAGAGAGCACGAGCGGAAACAGGACCAGAGCTTGATTGAAAAGACGTTTGGAAATTAGTGGGTGAATCAGGGACTGGGATAACTAGGGGCGTTGCAGCGACAAAGGCTATGGCTGTACATAACTAGCCAACCGCTGCTTGAAATCTGAAAGCCTGTCTTGGACACAAACCCCATTCCACGTCTCCCCCTGGGCCGAGTGAGAGAGCACAGGCATGCCGACTTGTTCAATGGCAAAGCTGGCTGATATTGACCCCCACACTGCACCATTCTCTACATTGTCCATGATTGAGCTAGATCCGCTGCGGAGCACGCCAACTGCAAGGCCACCTAGGAAGCTGTTGCCTCCGCCCGTGGGGTCAGCGACCTTTTCCGCCGACTGGTGGTATGCAGGCATCCATTTGCGTTGGCCTTTGCATGCCATCAAACAGCCGTCTTTTCCACATCGCACCACAGCCGCTCCCTTTCCGTCGGGCCCAATGCCACTGTCCAGCCACTGACTAGTCAGCTCTTCAATGGCTCGGTAGTCGGCGTGATCTGGGCCATGTGTGTTTTTGCCAAAGAAGCCGCCAAGCTCACCATGATTAGGGCTAATGATGTCGATGTACCTGAGTGCTTTTAGACAGTTGTCGAACTCGTCGGTTGTACATAGATCAGGCACAGGCTCCCAGATGAAGATTGGACGACGCGCCTCAGCCGACTTGTCTTGTTGCTTGCGTAGTGTGAGGATGTTTTCCACCAGGTCAATGCAGCGTGAGGGCGAACAGATCAAGTGGAAAGACCTGGACCAGAGCAATGGCGTGCCTTGGAGCGCCTGATGGTCCAGACGCAGTTTGGGTGTCAGGTATCGGAAGGCTGGGCATGTTGGTCAAGATTGCAACAACTAGACTGACGTGGGTTGCACGCACCTCGGTGCTCGTTGCCACCCACATAGCCATTCCATCCACGCGTAGTCAGCCGGTCAGGCGTTTCCCGCAGCAGCACCCCCGTGTCCCACTGCGCAATGTAGTCGCGTAGTTGGCGGGGAAAGTCTGATCCGCAATCTACAATCCAGCCCACGCTCCGTGACTGGGGCGGGGGAGAGAAGATGCGTGCGCCCAGTGCGGAGTATGTTCCTGCTCCGCCGACGATGTCCCTGACCGGGGGTTTTGGCGGGGGGAATTCAATCTCATCTTGGGCCGTTTAGTGTGCTGCCGCGTCCGCATCGAGCATTCAGAGCATACCGATGATGAACATGCCCAGGGTGCAAAAGTCTATATCAGTGCCGTGGCCGGCCATTGTGAAGGCTACGAAGTCGGCTAAGCGGACGTGTATGGAGGTATGGAGGTAGTCAGAGCAAGCAAGTCGGCCGCCCGGCGACTTGGGCTTGGCTGCAGACGGCTAGCGCAACGTGGGCAGCCGTGGCCATGCGCCCATGCGCCCTGGACAGGTCGACCTTGGATCTTCAATTGCGCCGTCTTGTAATCTTGTGCTCAGAAGGCCTGCTCACCAGCATCCAGGCTCGACTGCCATCTCCCCACCGCCAATCGCCGTCCTCAGCACGCTCGACGCGTTCCCCGAGCTGCAGGGCGCCGTGACCTGCCCTCCTTCCCCGAGCCTGAAGCTCGCCCAAGCAAACGTACCTGCCCGCCATACAAACGCACCACCGCGCCTTCCCCGCATGGCCAACAACATGAATAACCTGACGACGCTGATCAAGCGGTGAGTTGCTTCCAAACTCTCCTCCCTTGCCCCGCAGCTCCATGTCTGCCCAGCGCTGCCCCTCCCATCATACCATCCTCGCCAGCCAATCCCTCCCCGCCCTGCCCTACCACCACTCCAGAACATGGCCGATGGCCCTAATCAGTCACACGTCCTGGGACGCCCCGGGCAGATTCGTATCGAGGCAGACAATGTACTGACTTCCATGATCCTTAGGCTTGAAGCCGCTACCTCACGTCTCGAAGACATTGCCAGTTCAGCCCTCCCAGCAGGCAGCGATGGGCTTGGCAGCTTCAATGGAGCCTCGACGAGTGCCACTCCCGGCGCGACACAATCAAATACCAATGCAAGCACCCCCAAGCTAGTGGCTGAGGCGGCGCTGCCCCCAGCCATTGAGGCCTTCGACGAGCTGGTCAACTCGGAGCTCAAGAACTGGCTCGAGTTGAGTGGAAAGTTGGGCGCTGTCATCGAGGGCCAGTCCAAGGCAGTCGAGGGTGCTTTCGCTGCCGAGCGCCAGTTCCTCTTCATCGCCAACAAGGCCAAGAAGCCCGACGACCGCACCCTCATGGAGCTTCTCAAGGACCTCCAGGCAAACATGGAGAAGACAGACGAGTTCAGACAGAGCAACCGAGACCCCACTCTCAAGGACCCACTGTCCATGGTTGCCGACGGTGTGGGATCTCTTGGTTGGGTCACCATCGGCCAGGGCGGAGGTATGAAGCCCCATGAGCACATCAACGAGCTGGTTGGCGGAGCTCAGATGTATGGCAACAAGGTGCTTAAGGAGTACCGTGACAAGTACGGCTCTCTCCACTTTTGGTTTGGCACGTAGCTGACATACGCAGACCCGAGGGTGAAGTCCATGTCAAGTGGGTTCAAGCTTACTACAAGCTGTTCAAGGCCCTCGCCGAATACGCAAAGAAGCACCACACCACCGGCGTAGCCTGGAACAGCAATGGCATCGACGCCAAGGAAGCTGCAAAGCAAATCTCTGGTGGTTCCAGCATACCCGCTCCCCCAGCAGGAGGCATCCCACCACCTCCTCCTCCACCAGGTCCACCACCACCACCTGGTGCCGCGCCCGCAGCTAAGAAGGCTGCGCCTGATATGAATGCTGTTTTTGGTGAGCTCAACAAGGGCTCAGACGTAACAAAGGGACTTCGCAAGGTCGACCCGAGCCAAATGACACACAAGAACCCGTCATTGCGAGCAACCGCGCCAGTCCCTACACGTAGCGATAGTACCGGCAGTCTGAGGAGTAAGAGCCCTGCACCACCCAAGGCGAAGAAGCCGGAAAGCATGCGGACGAAGAAGCCTCCAAAGAAGGAGCTAGACGGAAACAAGTGGATAATAGTATGTTTTGCTCAAGTGATGCATTGTCCAGATGCTAACGTTTTTGCCAGGACAACTTTGACTCGCCGAGCGAAATAATTGAAATCGATGCTGAGATCAACCACTCCATCCTCATTTCCCGCTGCAAGAACACAACTATCCGCATCAATGGCAAGGCCAATGCCCTCTCCCTCGACAACTCGTCACGCACATCTCTCATCGTCGACTCCATGGTCAGCTCAGTCGACGTGATCAAGTGCCCCAACTTTGCCCTCCAGGTCATCGGAACCCTGCCTACGATTCTACTCGACCAAGTTGACGGCGCCACCATATACCTCTCCAAGGACTCATTAGCAACCGAGGTTTTTACCAGCAAGTGCAGCAGCGTCAACATCAACCTGCCAACTGAAGACGACTATGTAGAAAACCCGCTGCCAGAACAACTCCGGAGCTATGTTCAGGATGGCAAGCTTGTCAGTGAGATTGTCGAGCATGCAGGTTAGGGAGCTGGCTAGACATTGAGTTATACTGGACAAGGTTTGGATATGGGTCTTGGTGATTTAGTGTTGACTGGACACGTTGGGCTGTAGCATACAAAACTCATCCATAGAACCTATCCTCATGCTGCCATGATGTATATGTGTATGCTCTATTCTGGATCTAGTGCCTTGTCTGTGATACCATTTTCATAGCTTTGTTCGCGACATGTAACAGAGTAAGAAGGCTTCATTCAATGCTGTCTATAACGGAAAAGAATTGCTGCAACCATCTCAATCTACAGACTGGCTCGAAAAAACAAAACCATCATGAAAAAGTCGTAAGAAAGAAAGATGTGCAAAAAAAACAGCCGAAATGACAAAGGAAGCAAGTTGGGTATCAAATGTCCGACTGATATATTGGCCATGTAATCGTTAAAGAAACAATAAAAAGGGTAATGGCGGTGATGATTATGAAGAAGAAGAAAAAGAAAAAGATATATACGCGTAGTAAGTCGTAAAAGACGCTGGGTACTTGAGAAACCGATGAAGAAAAAAAAACTCTCTCTTCCTCCAAAAGTTCTTCGACAAAAAAGACAGTCGTCGCAGAACATTCATTTCCAAAGTGGTCAAGTTGTTCGCCGTTGGGCACAACCAATACTTCCTCTCATTCCTGTTCCTCTTCATCTTCTCACTCAAAACGTCGACGTCGACGTTTGTGGGTGCCAAAAGAAGAAGAAGAAGACCTGTCGTGTTTCAATCGCAAGCCCACACACAGACACACCTCGGAACGTTTGTCACCCGAACCCCTCCCCCTCCCCCCTCCAAAAAAAAACAAAACGTTTTAGGAACATGTCCCCTCCCCTCCCCCTCGCCTCTCTCACACACACGCTTCCCCTCAAAGAAAAAACCGTTAAAGTTTTGGGACGACCCAGAAAAAGAAATGTCGATACATGTTTCCGCCAAGTATCATCTTGACCGTGTAACATGTTTGACAATTTTTCGTTCTCTGTTTGTATCTTCTGGGATAATGTGGTTAATGGATTGATTTTTTTTCCTCTTTCTCTCTCTCTTTCTACCATCCCCCAGCGGGTTCAATGCGACGAGTCTGCGTTTGGAAGTAGCCGTCGAAAACGCTGAGTTCTGGCTTGCGGGGTGTAGGTGCAGGTGCAGGAACCGTGTTTTCGGAAATGTCGACGAGGGTGACGGTTGAGGTGCCGTTGTTGAGACCGAGGGAGGCAGCGGTTTGGCCGCTGAAGCCGCCGCCGTCTAAGCTTCGGCGTCGGCCGCCTGTGACTTTGCCGCTGTTTAGACTGGCAAGGACATAGCTCATTTTGATTCGCTCTTTTGGTCGGGGCAAGATCATCTTCTCGATGATGCTGAGCCACTCCGCTTCTGCTTTGAGTTGCCTCTGCTTTCTACCTGATCCAATCAGTCCCGTTCGAAGACTTGAGGTAGTGGTTGCGTGCAACCGGTTTCTCCAGCTTGCTACGCGGTCGAGATGTGCGTGGAAAGACGTGTCTTGCGTTGAAGCTGCTCTGTGCTGTGCGAAACCCGACAGTGATTGACCGTGCGCTACGGTCATCATCGTCAGAAACACGCATCCGAGTGAGAAGACGTCTGCCATTCTCTTTCCAC